GCCTGGGAGCTTGAGGGTCCTTAGCTGTTCCTAGGACTGCGCTCTTCTGGACAGAGATCTCAGATGTTGTTCCTGGGATCTGCTTGAGCCACCTGCCTAGTTTGGGAGTCACCGCACCTAGTGCTCCGATTATCACTGGGACCACTGTTACCTTCCACATTTTCTCGAGCTCTTCTCTGAGCCCTTGGTATTTCTCGAGCTTCTCGTGTTCCTTCTTTCTGATGTTGCTGTCATTGGGAACCGCTACGTCTATCACTGCGGCCGTCTTCTTCTGGTTGTCTACCACCACTATGTCTGGTTGGTTAGCCACCACAATTTTGTCTGTCTGTATCTGGAAGTCCCACAGTATCTTAGCTCGGTCATTCTCCACCACCCTAGGGGGCGTCTTCCATTTTGACCTCGGCACTTCCAGGCCGTATTTGGCACAGATGTTCCTGTATACTACTGGCTACCTGGGGTCTTGTCTGATGTGATAAACCCCAGCCTCTATGGATCTTGTGCTCAGAGCTTGTTCCTGTGCTGCCATGATTAGTGCCTCTGTGCTGTCTTTCAGTCCGGCTTTGTCCAGCCACTGGTAGGATTTCTGGATGTCAGCCACCTCTGCTATCTGCCAGTGGTACATACCGTGCAGGGCCTGTCCTTCCATGATGGTTCCTCCTCTTCCTCCTCATTCTTGGGTTTCTGCTGCCTGAGGTATTCACTGAGCACTCGGTCAGTTGGGGCCATCTTCCCAATGTATTCTTGGATGTTCGCTGTCTCATCCTGGATTGTGGTGCTGACACTCACCAGTCCCTGGCCTCCTTCCTTCCGCTTAGCGTACAGCCTCAGGGTGCTGGACTTGGGGTGAAAACCTTCATGCATGGTCAGGAGCTTCCTTGTCTTGATGTCAGTGGCTTCTGTCTCCTCCTTTGGCCAACTTCCCAGCAGGGTACCTGATCATGGGCAGGGCGTAGGTGTTGATAGCCCGGATCTTGTTCTTACCGTTCAGCTGACTTCTCAGTACTTGCCTGACCCTCTGGAGGTACTTGGTGGTTGCAGCTTTTCTAGCAGCCTCTTCATGGTTCCCATTTACCTGTGGGTTCCCCAGGTACCATGGCTCAGGGGGTTGGGAAGCGCATCTGTAATCGGAAGGTCGCCGGTTCGATCCCCGGGCTCTCTGTCCTGGTCATTGTGTCCTTGGGCAAGACACTTTACCCTATCGCCTACTGGTGTTGGCCAGAGGGGCCGATGGCGCGATATGGCAGCCTCGCTTCTGTCAGTCTACCCCAGGGCAGCTGTGGCTACAACCGTAGCTTGCCTCCACCAGTGTGTGAATGTGAGAGTGAATGAATAGTGGCATTGTAAAGCGCTTGGGTGCCTTGAAAAGCGCTATATAAATCCAATCCATTATTATTATTATTGTAGCTGTCCTCTATGTCTACAATGTTGCCTTCTGGTAGTTCGATCCCTTCAGTTCTGAATACGTTCCTTCTCTTTGTTATCATCCGACTACATTTCCCTTCCCTTCTGGGGGTCCTTGAGGATCAGGACTGTGCAGCGTTCGGTTAGCCATTCTGGGTGTCTCTCGTCAACTAGCAGCTGGTTCATTTGTGCTGCCAGGTGCTCGTGGAGTGCAGTCAGCTTCTTCAGCCAGTAGGCGTGAACCATGTCTGGGCTTGGTGCTGTCCAACTCTTCATACTGGAGACTCTTTCTTGGATGTCTGCCACTGTGATGGTTACTGGACCCTGTTCGGGGAGGTTGCTGTGGTCTGCCCTCAGATCCATTAGCCGCTGAGCATTGCCGTTATGGGTTGCATCCTTCTCCCATATGCTCTTCCAGTATTGCTCCGTCTCCAGGTTTGGTGGTGCTGTTCTCATATTGTTCCCCTGCCACTGAGAGTACACCTTGGCTGGTTCTGTGGAGAACAGCTGGTTTATTCTCCTGCCTTCGACCTTTCAATGTCAGAGGCTGAACTCAATGTTCTATCCATTTAGCATCACCTCCCTAATTGTCTGAACCTCTGGAGGGCAGCACGGTGGTTAGCACTGTTGCCTCACAGCAAGGAGGTCCTGAGTTTAATTTGACCATCAGACCAGGGTTCCTCTGTGTGTAGTTTGCATGTTCTCCCTGTGTTTGCGTCAGTTCTCCCTGGGTACTCCGGCTTCCTCCCACAGTCCAAAGACATGCAGTTGGTGGGGATAGGTTAATTGATCAATCTAAATTGCCCATAGGTGGGAATTCTGGAGTGAGTGTGAATGCTGGTCCGTCTCTGTGTGTTAGCCCTGCGACAGACTGGCGACCTGTCCAGGGTATACCCCGCCTCTCGCCCTATGACAGCTGGGATAGGCTCCAGCGCCCCCTGCGCCCCTGAAAAGGACAAGTGGAAGCAAATGGATCAGTGTATCCTATACTAAAGGAGGTTACAAACAAAGTACTTAAGGATTTTTAAAAAAATATATATTATTAATATATTATTAAAAGAACTTAACCAGCTGTCATTATGGCTACCATGCAGATAATTCCAAGTCACTTATCTCAGTTAGCAACCTTCCCCAAGCATATTTGACTATTTTTCTGCACCTCTAGCCTTGCTGAGCACTCAGAGTGCTTTTACACTACTTTTATGACTTTGACAATATAGCTTAAAATGTGTTTAAATAAAAAGAGCATTAGTTGTTTCTCAAGGAATAAAAAAAATAAGTAGATAAGAATTCAAGGCAATTAATTGTTTATTTTAAGTACCAACACTTAGTAAAGCAGCAAATTTAAAATGCATCCCTGATCATTTCTAGCTGACCCCATTGGAAAAAAATAAATAGCAAAGTCACACTAAACACAGAATATGAACAATGTATATAGTATGATAAATAGATTAAAACAGGATGATATTGTATTTTTTAAATAGAACCTTCTTTATTTATTGTATGTGCATACTGGTGAGAAATAAATAACTTAGTCCATTCTAACATGCAAAAATGCATGTTCTTCAAGAATAGTATATGTAGATGGAATACTATATACCTTCAACAATGGGTATCAATCAGCTGGCTCACATAATACTTCACATAACAAAAATATAATATTTGCTCAACTTCTCCTTTAGAACAACTTACAGTATTATTCGGGTATCTTTACTGAGCGGCACATAGAGAAACACAAAGCTCTGTGCTTCTGAGACACTGTTTGAAGTACTTCAATAAATCTTTAAGTTGAACTAGTTCAGAACAGACAAACTGCAAAATGTTTACAATATTAGTACAGAGCATTCAAAGGATCTTGCAAAGAAAAGCGTCTGGACTTCTTTAAGTTGCTTGAAGACGTTTCACCTCTCATCCGAGAAGCTTCTTCAGTTCTAAGGTCAAATGGTGGAGAGTCCCAGATATAACCTAGTGGGAGTAACCCCCCACAGAGGGAAAAAAGGACCCCCTGATGATCCTCTAATCGCCTGAGCCAAGGTGTGAAACTGGGTGTGGGTCTCAATCAGCCAGAGTTTCGGGTGTGTTCATTGTGAAACCTGGCCCCACCTTATCATGCGAATTCCTGAGGTCAGATGGCCCAGGATGTGAGTGGGCGTTAAGGCGTCTGGGAAGGGATCTCAAAACTGGATTATAGATGGCAGACAGTTGGTGTCGTAAACCCCCGCCTCTGTTCAAAGATGATCGCTCACAGTGGACATAGATGGCTTCTTTCACTCCTCTTTCAAACCATCTGTCCTCTCTGTCCAAAATGTGAACATTGGCATCCTTGAAAGAGTGTCCTTTATCCTTAAGATGCAGATGGACTGCTGAGTCTTGTCCTGTGGAGGTGGCTCTTCTGTGTTGTGCCATGCGCTTGTGAAGTGGCTGTTTGGTCTCTCCAATGTAGAGGTCTGAGCATTCCTCGCTGCACTGTACAGCATACACCACATTGTTAAGTTTGTGTTTTGGCGTTTTGACAAAGAAGTCCAGACGCTTTTCTTTGCAAGCTCCTTTGACTACGATGACCTGGATGACTGAGAACCTTCACAGACAGTACAGAGCATTATTATTCTTGTCCAATAAATATACACTGCTTAAAAAAAATAATAAAGGAACGTGTTGAAAATACATTTTACCTCAATGGGGAAAAAAATCATGTTGGGTATCCATAGTAATATGGACTATCAAGCTACAGAGGGCTGAAGTCAAAATCACTGTGAAAATTGAAGTTAACAAATGATGGCAGGCTAGTCCATTTTGTTGAAATTCCATTGCGATAACTCAGAATGATACTCATTAGTTTGTATGCCATGACAAAATCAGGGCATGCTTTTACAGTAAGTAATGAGATGATAAATCATGTCCAGTGGGATCTCCTCCCAGCTCTGAAACAGCACATCACTGAGTTCATGGACAGTCTGAGGTGCAACCTGTCAGTGTTAGATGGATAGAAACATAATGTCCAAGAGGATGGATTTAAAAAGGTGAGTGTTGGGACCACCATATCAATTCCTTCATCCTCCAGGAACTGCCTGCATACTCTTACCACATGAGGCCGAGCATTGTCACACACCAGGAGGAACCCAGGACCCATTGTACTAACGTAAGGGCTGACAGTGGGTCTAAGGATTTCATCCTGATACCTAATAGTGGCATTGCTTAGCCAATAGAGGTGTGATAACATGAATATGCCTTCCTGGACCATCACTGACCCACCAGTAAACCAGTCATTCTTAGCCAGTCATCTCATTTCAGCCAGCTAGTAAAATTACACATACACGGCTATGAACTAACACTTTCAATACTATTACATTTTGCTATGAAACAGGACTCAACTAGTTATTATCTTAATTAACCGCCTGTCCACCAAAAAGAAAATAGCTTAAAAGGCAATCCCACTGCAACAAAACAACTTTTGAGAAACAAAGGAGTCCAGTATCTGCTTTAGGTGCGCCTTTCCTTGGATAGAGGTTAGTCTGGTGTATTTGGTCGGCCTTGGTCATATTTAGTTGCTTGCTGTTTTGTGTCTTATGGCCAAGTAGACTCTGTGCCTTTTGTCTGCACTATTGTGGGCTCACCGTCCACAGCCTGGTAGGAGGTATGGTGGGCTGAGAAGAACTGAAACTGATGATGTGTCTTAAGAAGTATGAGCTTTGCATGGAGTGAAGACAGTCAATGGTGTTCCCCACCCTTTCATGTAAAGAGGCTTCATCTGGAGTGGCCATGAAGCAATCATTTAGACTTGTCAGAGAGGTCTCACTGTCAATGTCATGGATGAAGTCAATACCTGTCAAAATTAGAGAAGAAGATATAAAGAAGTAAAAAAAAGGACCATGTAGAGAGAGTTTAATAATCTTTTATTACAAATTATACATAACCTGAGCCGCTGCTAACAAAGTTCTGTTATTATCAATGTTCTATTTAAAATATAGGTTGGAAAAAGTGCAGGGAATTGTTCAACTTATTTAGAAAGACAAACAAAAGAAACCAGAAGTAAGAGATTAACTGAACATCTTCTCAAACCTTTATCTTGTAAATGTCCATTTTATTTCTTTAAGTTACCAGTTGGTTATATTCACTTTCTACCTCCTTAGTTACTACTACTACCTCAGTTAACACCAAAAGTTTTTTGCTGTTCTTTGACTACTTGTTTAGACTTGTATTTATCTTCAGAAATTAGTATATCACTGTGTCAGCTCAGGTTGAGCAGTCTGGAGAGAAAGAGGCACAGCTGAGATGGTTTGGGTTTGTGAAAAGGATAGTGGATATATTGCGCAAAAGATGCTGAATATAGAAGTGCCAGACATATTGAAAAGACATGTAAATATTGTATATCGTATAGAGGTTAATACACAAATAAAATTGTCAGTTTAGATCTGACATTTTATCCTATATTATACAACACAATGACAGTATTGTCTGTTTGTTTGAAGTAGCTGTTTCTTTCATTTTCCTTTTCTATTTTATTGATCTATTCTCCTGCAGGACTTAAGCAGCACACCAATGTTAAAATGTTCTTGTACAACAACGTGTCTTACATAGAAACAAATAAATCATCATTATCATTGGCTGTTTGATCTTAAAGATGTCTCACCTAACATTTCATTTGCTAATCTCACCTTCAAACAACCGGCTGCTTGCTGCTGGGTTGCTTAGTTCGTTTGGTTAACAGCAGCGGCTTCGACTCTAATAAACCCTGTTGCCATGCCAATATTGACATGCTGGAAGTCCCTGAACAGACAGAAGCAGTGCTTGCCAAACCAGTGAGACACTTATCTAAACTGTCTGTTCATATCCACTGTGAGACCACAGTGGCAATAAGCCCACTAGCCATGTGGAACTATATTGCAGAGAGAATCTCAGCTCCCGCTTTATAGCTCTGCTGTTGAAAAACCCATATTTACCAGCAGAGATGAAATTCTGGTTTCACAATATGGGGCGTGCTAAAAACTACAAAACTGGGAGTGTTTGCTGAGTGACTTTACTCTTTTTATTGTTCCAATAAAAAATTTAATATTTCAAGCTGTCTCTCCAAATTATTGATAAATCACCTAGCTTTCTGGAATCGCTGTTATTAGAATTCTAAAGGACAGATTGTAATGACAGTTACATTTCTAATGTTCTTCTGCCCCACTGACGCAGAAGGACGTCAGTGGTGGCGCGTTTCATTTTGCTACATTAGAGAAAAGTAGCAAAAAAAAGGAACTGGAAATGCAAACAAAGATAAATCCTTACCTTGGCCTAGCCTTTGGCTGTTGTGTTGCTCCTGCTGTTGCTGTTGTCTGCGGGCTAACTTCTTCATCTGCAAATAAATAAATAGCAAACAGTTTGATACATGACTGACAGGCAAACAAGCAGACACACACACACAACCAAAAACACACATGCAATACTGTGCAAAGTCTTGTGCTGTTTCTTTATATTGTGGTTCTAAGGACCAGTAATTTTTCTAAGCAATGTTCTTAAGGTCTTTCAAAGATATTTTTTGGACATAGTTAGCACTTTAGGTACTTTGTTACTTGCAGCTCATAACTGCAACAAATAATTAGCTCCCACTTATCACAAGTGTTTTCAGGAAAAGGTTTGTATTGTATTGTATTGCCAAATGGATTGAGCAGTTGCCCGGGTATGAGTGTGGGGCAGCATTACAGCATACAGTAAAGAGGACTGTGTCATGTGAAGCAGGGCCACATAGGAGCTTGATAAGACCACTAAAGCAGACAGCCATAGAGACAAAACACAGAGGTGACTCTTGGACTTCCTTTCCTGGGCGGTCCTCATGTGAGCTAATTTCTGTTTTGAAGCTTTATTTTCATGTATGCACATGTTTCAATAAATCACGGCTCCTATTTATCATTTTGTAGCAAAATGTAAAGAAATCAGAGGTAGTTTAAGACTTTTACACAATATTGTACCAATGTATCGGTTAATATGTACAAATAGATTAAATACAAATAGGAATAAATAAGTGGAGACGGCAAAAAATTGAAGTGTTAAATAGATTTATGTGCAAAAGAGCTATGAGCTCATGAGATGACCTGATGTGCAAAAATTATTATTACTAGTTAAAATAGGTCAGCTGTTCAAGAGTCTGATAGCAGTGGGGAAGAAGGAGTTGTTGAGTTGGGATCTTCTAGAGTTCACACTTCTAAACCTTTGTCCCGAGGGCAGAAGTGTGAACAGTCCGTGTTGGGGGTGTGTGGGGTCTTTGAGGATGGAGGCAGCTCTCTTCTGGACTCTGCGATGGTAGATGCTCTGCAGAGAGGGCAGCGGAGTCCTGGTGATCTTCTCTGCAGCTGCTATCACTCTCTGCAGGTCCATAGCAGTAGTGCTGCCGTACCATGCAGTGATGCAGCTGGTCAGGGTGCTCTCCACAATGCAGCTGTAGAACCTGCCAAGGATCTTGGCCAACATACCAAATTTCCTCAGCCTCCTCAGGAAATACAGCCACTGCTGAGCCTTCTTGACCAGCTTTGTGGTGTTCAGTGTCCAGGTGAGGTCCTCTGTGATGTAGACGCCCAGGTATCTAAAGCTGCTCACCCTCTCCACTTCCACACACAAAGTGAGTGACAGTGACAGTATTGAAGGCGGAGCTGTAATCAACAAAAAGTACCGTGATGTATGAGCCTTTGTTGCTGTAGGCTTTATCCAGTGTATTTTTCCACCTTGTTGCACAATCAAATACTGTTCAAACCTGGGGAAATCTGGCCAGGATTTCTGTTGACTGCTTACAGCTCATCCATGGTTGAGTTAGCATTAGCATCGGGTGGTACATACACGGCCGTTACCATGATGACAGTAAACTCATAAGGTATGTAGATAGGTCTGCATTTAACAGTCAAATATTCCAAATCAGAACACTGGCTGTCTACAGTCTTTTGTCTCTTTAGACCAGCTGTCATTGATCTAGATGCATAAACCCCCAATGTTGGTGAAGCAAATACTCGGGAGCGGTGGCTTAAATGTTTTTTTCTTTAACCATGCTACTGGGCCCACCCTGCAGCCTCGCTTTTGCCTCCTTTGTTTACACTTCCTTTTGGGCTTGCTGCAGGCCTGGAGTTCTTATTATGTTCTCCGGAATCCTGTGGAAGTGGTGATAGTCTGACATAGTGTTCCTTGCACAGTGTAATCCCAAACTCAGAAGGTCCTGAGTAGATACTACTCGCCATACAGTAGTAAAAAACACATACATCCACACATATACATGTAAAAAATCTAGAAAAGCAAGCACCGAATGTGGAGAGCAGTAAGCCACTGTGTCTATGTGTGTGTCGATGTCTTGTGGAAGGAGGGAACCTAACATGCATGTCTGTGGAAACCCGGAGTACCTCGAGAGAACCCACAAGGGCACAAGGAGAAGATGCACACTAATTCATATGCTACAGAAGAAAGCTTTGAAAATTTTAAAAGCTTCTAGGTTATTGGGAACCAGATGACAGACTATTCATCATGCTAGAATTTTTAAAACACTATGTTGTTTTTTTAATTTACAAAGAAGAAATTAGTAGACATGCAAGAGCAATGAATGGCTGTTAAATTAAACGGCATGATTATGATATATTTTAGACTTGAGCAAGTATTGCATCAGACCGATGATGGACAATAGTAAAATCCCTGTAGCTAGTGAGACTATGATGAGTTTATTCTCTCAAATGCCACCAAGCCAGACAAATTAGATTAGAAACTCTCAGTACACTGAAGCTTGACTGATGAAAAACTGATTACATAACTAAGGACTTTTGGGAATAAACAGTAAGGGCCCATTGTCAGAGGATGCAATGTGGGGGGCCATCAGCGACTAAGACTTCTGTGAAACACCTAAAGGCTCATTTTAACTATCTTTGCTTAGAAGAAGCAATTTAAAAATTGTAACTGTAGTTCAACAATGTGAATGCTTAGAAGTTACAACCACAAAATTATGAAACTAGGTTATAAATGTATAAATGCTTATAGCTTTGGGGATGTGCTCCTTACCTTTGCTCTCTGGTTCTGGAACCAGACTTGGACCACACGAACACTAAGTCCAGTCTCTGCAGCCAGGGTCTCTCTTACCTGTAAATCACAGCACAACTAAATTTTATTATTATTATTATTATTATTATTATTATTATTATTATTGTTGTTGTTGTTGTTGTTGTTGTTGTTGTTGTTGTTGTTATTATTTTATTATTATTATTAATAAAAATAATATTAATAAAACAATTAATACTATTAGTATTCTTACTTTTTTATTATAACAAATACATTAAAAAAAACCAACATGCTTCCATTAAACAAACTCTTCTGGGCTAGTTTTTATTAGCTTTAAATTCTACTACCCTCAGTGTCACCCTTGATAGAGGACAAATGTAGACACACCAGCTCAGAAGTATAAATAAAAACACACACATATATACAACAACATAATCTATTACAATGTAGGCTCTACAGGGTTTCAACCCTCAAGCGTCGATGCAGGACTGACAAAACCCTATTTTAAAAGAAAAGAAAAGAAAATGACAAAATGTTGCTTGGAAATAAGATAATTTTCATGACAACATAAGTAAGGTTTTGTGCTTAAACATATTAATTTTCTTTGCATATATGTGTTAATAAGTTTAATGAAGTCTCAACTGTTAATTCATTCAACTCCTCATTTTAAATTTGGGTTGTTAAAGCTAGAGGAACTAATTTTTAAGTTTCAGTGTTAAAATAATTTTAAATATTTGCTTGGCTGGTTGTCTTGGGGCCTTTTCCTTCATATTTAAACTGCTACTTTTATTAAGAACATAATACTGTTTTTCTACTATGACTTCTTAGTCATAGTAGAAAAATAGACTTGAGGTGACTGCTCTTAAGCATTGATGCTATATAAACGAAATGATACTGAATTCAAATGTAATGTAAGAAATGAAATGCAATGTAATTGTAGTACTTGATATGTGGTTTTTGACTCAAATATACCAGTATACAATTATAATATACTCTATACCTCTACTCACCTTTCTGCAGGGTTTGGAAGAAACCTCAAAAGAGGCCTTAAAGGCTCTCTGCTGCGGGGTGGTCAGGATGGTGCGTGGGCGTTTGGGCCTTAGGGGTTCTTTGCTGTCACTGCTGCATTTCCTGACTGATAGGGTTTTTTCTGATTTCACATCCTCGTCCTCATCCTCATTCTTATCTGTCACCAGACACAAATAATTCCATTAATCCCTTTGTTTAATTGTTGCTGCAGATTTGACCTGAGTTCAGTTTTTTGCATTGCATGGGAATTTTCCATTTCTAGATAAAGTCATCAATTAGGTACGTTCCTTTTGATTCAGTTCTTTTCTTTAATAATCTGTTATAAAATATTACCTGAGTCTGTGATGTCTGTACTGAGTGTACTGAGCAGGGCCCTCTCTCTCTCATAGTCAGTCTTGCACAGCAGCTGACCTTTTTTCAGTACAAACTCATCTCCTTTACACAGCTGGCGCTGGCAGACACAGCAGCAGAAGCAGCTGAGATGGTAAACACTGTCCAGAGCTCGCATAACAAACTCTGTGGGCGCTATCTTTCCAAGACAGTTGCTGCACTCCACAGCAAACAACCTGAGCACAAGGGGAAGGAAGAACAGTGTTATTGATGCAGCATTTTTAGGGAAAATTGTGTTTGACATATTTTCCTTGCAATTGAATCATTCTAGCAGTTATGTTTCTCCTCCAACAGAGTGCGGAGGAGGAGCAATGAGATAACACAAACACAAAAGCTACCAAGCTAAATCTAATAAAAGTTGTTTTGCCTTCTGACCATAATTCAACACATTTTGCTGCTCAAATTGAAATTCGGGTGAAAAATTATTTGTCACACTGAAAAACCTGATAGTTTCACCGATTATTTTCATTTGAATGGGTTTACAAACTGGCGTACTCAAACAACAGTTTTCAACAGTATTTAAACACAAGAGGCTTCTCTTTAAAATGTCTTCTTTCTACAGTTTTCTCACCATCCCATTACCACTGAAGTGTAAAGTTATTTATCAATTTACAGGATCTCTGTGGCTTTTAAATCACAAAACACTAAGTTTGGTGGATAATTTTCCAGAAATTGTTACTTTAATTAAGGTACCAAAGTAACACCTAGATTTAAAAAAACTGAATCTAGTTTTGGTGTTACTTTTCTGTTACTTTTAGCCACAGCTAACTTTTGTCACAGGAAGCGTCGGTTACCTTTGATTCCACTGAATCACAACCAAGTCTAAATTTCATGGGTGTGTTCATGTCCTGCTAACAATAACTGGAGCTTGCCAATCTTAGAGGCCAGTAGTTTTGTTTTTCTTTTGGTTGTTTCTCTATGAGCCTCTGGTCTAATGGAAAACTGATTAGACCAGAGGAGACTAGTGTGCTATACAAGTTGCTGTAGGATCTGGTATCACTGCTCTGAGAGACGGTTTTTGTACAATGACAATAAAGGGCTAGTCTGTTCTAGTTACCATTGGTATCTTTGTGGTAACAGCACATGAGCTTCTGGACTGGTTCTTATACAACTTGCCTCATTCACCCGTGTCTGTGTGTGTGTGTGTGTGGGAGGGGGGGGGCATGCAAGAACTGAATCTTGGAAAAGAGTTAAAGAGTGGGAGAGGAGGAAAGAGGTAGCATTAGGCAGGTACACAAGAGTTTGGACAGCTGCACTGTTCCTTTCTAATGACACTATCCTTCTCTGTTCAATAGTTTTTTCTCCCATTCCCCATATCTCATTGATCTTCTCTTTCAACCTTTGTCTTACCATCTGTCAATTCAGAAAGTGAGAAGAACATTTGCCATCAAGGCTCTTTAAAAAAAAAAAAGATGGACAGAGTATATAAAGTATAAGACATTGCCTAGTAAAATTAACAAATAAAAATACACCACAATCTGGTTCAAATCACTGTAATTGCAATGTATGCTCATAATAGAGTTGTGTAACAGAACCACGACAGGCCCGATGACGAGTTCATGGTTTTCAGCATTTCTTTATTTAACACTTTTATTCTCCTGGTCGCTGTACAACAACAGTCGGCTGCAGCTCCGCCGCTCACAGCCCGACACATATCAACAACAACAACATAACAGACAGCACAGCTTTTTATGCCGGCAGAGGCGTGATTGCAGATGCCATGCAATTGCATCCATCTCCCCTGCAACAACACCTCAGACCACGCACTGCTGAAGTTGATACACTCCTCATTAAATGGATATAAGCACTAACCCCATGGTGTGAAGGGATAACTAAGAGGGATAGAAAGAGTTGAGTGAAGGTAAATTGCTACATGCTTACAGAACACACTATCAGACAGGAAGGGCTGCTTGCCCTTGGGTGTATGATAACAGGGTGCTCATTTTCATGCATGAAAATAAAACATCCCTGGTAACAACTGTAAGGTAGGGAGGGTTTTTTTTTCATACAGGACAAGATCCCTGACTGGAGGTTAATGACTGCTGTCATGTGGAAGGACCCCAAGGAGAACAAATCAAGTCTAAACCATGGCACCTCCCCATCAATAGCCAATCAAAATTATTTCCGGTTGTCATGTGTCTAATACAGTCCTTGCGGTGACACCGCCCCTCTTGGACTGAGATTGCCCACCCCTGGTCTAATATATGCTTTGAATTATGAACTGTGCTTCACTTCTCCACGTGCAGACTGCCTGACATTGAGAAGTCCACAGCTGTGCAAGCCAAATCTTTAACTGCCTGATAATTGCTAGATTGTCTCCTGAACTACTCTCAGCAAAAAAACGAACACAACACCTTGATTCACTGAGTTATCAATAGTGTGAGCAGTTACACAACTCACCAAGAATGTTTGCAATGCTGTTAACAGATAAATTTGCATAAGTAAAGGAAATTAAAATTCAATTGAGTTCAATTTTATTTATATAGCGCCAAATCACAACAACAGTCGCCTCAAGGTGCTTTATATTATAAGGTAGACCCTACAATAATACATACAGAGAAAAAACCCCAACAATCATATGACCCCCTATGAGCAAGCACTTTGTGACAGTGGGGAAATAAAAAATCCCCTTCAACAGGAAGAAACTTCTGGCAGAACCAGGCTCAGTTAGGGGCGGCCATCTGCTGCAACTGGTTGGGGTGAGAGACCACAGCTTCTCTGCAACTTTAAAAAAACAAAACTTTTCAAGCTTGCATAGACTGCAACAGTTTAAATCCTTGTTTATACCTAAACGTGTAATTTTCACAACCTTTTGTTTTTCAGTTGTTGTGGGCTTTCATATATGCTGTAAACAAAGTGTACTAAAGTAAAATAAAAGCCTGGAAAGAAATGTGTGGAAAATACAGTGTAAGAAGGGTTGGTTAGACTAGTCTACATCCCTAATAATTGTGAATGATGGGGAAATATTATTTATTCTTTCCTCTGAAATACCCCAAAGATACTCATTGCATTAAAAAAAAATAAATAAACAACTTTAAAAACATTATATACTGTTTCGCCTTGCCAAGTATCATCAGGAATCAGTAAGTATGTTTAGGCACTCGAAAAATAAGTCCCATGGTGTATTATACAGTGCAATGTGTCATCTTTGAAAGGCAGAGTGAAAACGTCTTTCTCTTTGCAAGCTTTTAGTTAGATTTAGAGGCAGGCAAAAGCAAAGGGTTCATTTTTTTTTATACCAAAACACTTTGAGTCTGTGTCATATATGGAATATAAAAATTATTTTTAAGATCCATATTGTGAGAATCACACATTTACTTTTGTTTAATATTATACAGAAATGACAAAAGGGTTTTTCCACTACTCCTACTCCCTTTTTTCACCGATAGCTCTACTGATAGCTGAGATCATTACCATGCTAAAAACATGTTGAAGTGAGTTTCTAGAGAATCTCTAGGCTTTACTATGAATTTTTGAGCTTTCGCTGAACAAACAGCAAATCCATTCTCTGAATACTGATTTTATTTTCCCTGCCTCCTTCATAGACATCTTTTGATTACTCTGGCTAATTAAAAGTCCATCAAGCTGCCACCCAAAGCCACCACCCACTCATCCACCCAACCTCCTCTTTTAGGTCACCCAGCTCCATGAAGAGGGAGAACAAACAAGACAATAGTGAAGGAACACACACAGTCTGTTTTTACTGCTTCATTCTTTTTCCTCTCCTCTTATCCTCTTTAATCCTGTACCTCTTTATGCTTATTAAGCTGCTGGAAGCATAGGGCACAGGTCCAATGGGTTAAAGCTCCACCAAAGAGTTGACTCTAGCACTGAAAGGCCACAAAGAACTGAAGAGGACTTTGCGTGATTGCACTAATGGTAGTTTTCTATGTTTATAATTCCCTCTATCTATCTATCTATTTTTATTTCATTTTATTATTCACATTATTATCTGATTCATTCAGTGGGTTAGAGCCAGGTTGGTGAAAGATGGAAGGAAGAAGAATAGAAAACGAAATTGAACAGAACCCTAAACTGACTCTGGTAGATGTCCCCACCCCAGACAGGGTGTAAAAAGCAGTGGTGTAGGAAGACCCGCCTCATCCCTTCCGTACTTGACAGTGTTCAAGGTCGACTGTTTTGTGCATGTGTTGTATGTGAGTGTATGAGGTGTAAATGAGTATGACTGTGTGAAAACTAGAGTGGTAATAAAATTGAGGGGACAGATGCAACATGAGAATACGATTGCTGGCCTCTCCCTGAAAACCCTCAATGTCTAAGGTGCAGGTAAAATAGCAACGAAGAGGCGACTGGAACTATCTCATCAACCTCATCCACCAACCTCTGGATAACACAACTGCCCCCAAGCCCTAAATGTCAAGGCTCTGTGTGCGGCCAGGCAGAGATGAGGATCCAAATGCAGGACTCGGAAAATGGAATGTAACTCAAAAAACCTCAGCTTTATTGCTGGCAGGAAAACAAACATAAAGTGAGGACAGAACACTGAGACCAAGAACACACAGGCATAAACTGATGGTACGACGCGACACTGAGCATGGGAAAACACAGGGCTTATATACGCAGGGTAGTAACGGGGAAATCGGCAACAGGAGGGAGACACAGCTGGGAGAGATCAGGGCTAACGAGACAGGGGGAACAAAGCTGCACATACTAACATCAGACAAGAACAAGAACCTTCAAAGTAAAACAGGAAACAAAACACACTTTACTAAGACACAGACTAGACAGAGACAGACTTGACACTGACCAAAGGCTACTAAATGATAATCATAATCACAACAGTATCAGATCATAAATCATAATATAGAAAAACACCAAGATAACTGAAACACCAAGTACCAGAGAAACATAAAGGAAAATCCATGATGCAAAAGTACCAAAACATAATGAACTCAAAATACTGGGTCCAACGGACCCAGAACCGTGACACTAAAAAATAAAGTCATTATAGCTCATGTGTCATGTGCTCTCATTACTTTATTATTTATTATTTGTTTCATTAATATAAAAGTAACTAGAACTTAAAACAATCTCCAACCTGAAGTCACATCCCTTCCCAGGAAAACTAAAGGAAGAGGAAAAAGGGAAGTAAAATCTGAAAGGAAACTGTAACGTCTACAACCGACTCCGTGATATAACACACTATTTAGACACCATCTCCAACGGAAGTAACACGATATCGTCCTCTCAAATCCACACACGGTGTGCACACTGCTTTGAAAGGCCCAACAGCTTTGTTTGCTCTCCTCTTTTTCCCCTTTATACGCTGTGCCCACAACTATGAGGAGAAACACCTGCTGTCAGAGGGAGGACAAATCCAACAGAGAAAGGGGAGCGAGAGAAAACCACACACATACAGCACCATTGCTGTAACAGTTGTCAGAGGGATGTGGGGGGGAGGTAGACAACTGTACGTGGAAGGAGAGATTTCTTACACCCCACTGCAAGGTAAGGAAAAGCAAATCCGGAACCAACACCAGCAGCAACCGCCGTCCCCAGTCTGGCTCAACAAGTTCCAACAAGCCCATCTAAATGTCCGGTCATCTTGATGTTACACTGTCACACAAAGATTTTTCTGCTTTAACAGCGCGGCTTGTCATTAATAAAACAGCTGTAGCAGTAAGAAGACAAAGAGGTAATTTCATGACACAAATCAGTACATATTTAAAACACACTTTACCTGAAACACTGCTTTTTGTGTTGTCTGTCTGTCTTTTGTCTCTTTCTAATGTGACAGCGCTGACTGGGCTGTTAAATGGGCGCAAGCTGTATTAAAAACTAACCCATCTCTCTTGTGAGGAGTTTCTTGCTAAGTTCTGCAGTGTTTTTGACAAGGGTTCAAACCTCAATGCCTCTGCTTTTTTCCCTGAGGCCATTTGTCTATTGGTCTTTGGATTCTGGCAGAAGACATGGGATTGGAGTAAAAGGCCCCTCATGGAGCTTTCCTATGCACTTTAAATGATGAACTAAAATCATATCCTCGCTTGAATCCCCGCCCTATAAGTGTTTCCAAGTCACTGCTCTCAATGGAAAAAGACTACTCAACATAACTCACAAAACCCAGCTGGCAACTCCCACTGTGTAAGGCAACCACACAGAACAAATATGCTTCTATCTATTTGTTGCACCACTCGCTCCTCTCGTCCTCGGTCATTCATGGCTAAGAGAGAATAATCTCAACACTAAATAGAGAAAAAAAACCATTTATTTCTGGTTGGAGCACTCACTGTCATCAATTCTGTTTGAAAAATACTATCCATCATTCTCCTCTTAGCCTCCCCCATCTCCACCTGATCTAAATGGTAAATGGTAAATGGCCTGCATTTATATAGCGCTTTACTAGTCCCGAAGGACCCCAAAGCGCTTTACACATCCAGGCATTCACCCATTCACACACTGGTGATGGCAAGCTACATTGTAGCCACAGCCACCCTGGGGCGCACTGACAGAGGCGAGGCTGCCGGACACTGGCGCCACCGGTCCCTCTGACCACCACCAGTAGGCAACGGGTGAAGTGTCTTGCCCGATCTAGCTTCAGTACCCCGTGTATCTTGTTTAGATGAAGTATTTTTAAAAAAGCCCTGTCTCTCTTTCTCTTCCTCCTCACAGAATTTACTATCAACTATCAATTTGCTATCAACCTTTATCCTAGTGGACCTTTGCCCACCAGCAGTTTATATAGTTTATCCAAACTGGAAAAAGAAGACATGGAGAAATACATGACAAACTCACTGACTAACATTCTTTCTGTCTTCCAGGCACTTGTCAATGACGCCATTCGGGATATCATCAATCACCTTGTTTTTGCCTACTTGAATTACATCACACAATTCCTTACATGACATTGTGGCTGTGGCTCAGGTGGTAGAGAAGATCAGCTACTGACTGGAAGGTTGGTGGTTTGATCCTTGGCTTCCCCCAGTCTGTATGCCAAATATCCTTGGGAAAGATAGTAACCCCAAGTTAGCTCCATCGGAGCATGAATGAATGTGTGTGAATGTTGCTTAGATTGCACTTGTGTATAGAAGAAAGTGCTTGGGTGAATGAGGCATGTTGTATACAGTGCTTGGAGTACTCCAGGAGAGAAGAAAAGCGCTATCAGTCCATTTACCTTGTGTTCGTTTGTCTTATAGTCAAGCATCTCAGTCATCACTGATGCCGATTTGCAGATCACCTGCTTGGTTTCGGTGATGATCGCAGTAGAGATTGTTTATAGTGCTGTAGTCACATCTTGTAGAAGACCTTCAGATGATATGGTGACCTTCAGAGTGGACAATGGTGCTTTAAGAGGAGCAGACAGGCCCAAAGAAAATCCCATATAGAGATAATGTGACAGTAAGTCAGCCCGCTATCAGTGTGCTGTTCCTGTCTGGAAGACGCCTCAATACAACAGGCAAGACCACCAAGCTGCAGGATTCCCCCTCCAGCAACACAACAAATAGTGGGAGTAACACACACATTTAATGAAAGCTCTTAAAACATGTGGTTATCCCAATTGGGCTTTCATCAAATCAACAAAGATGAATAAAAAAGAAGGTCAGACACCAACTAGCGAGAAACAGAAAGCCAAACAGAACAACATTGCCATGTTTTGCTTAGCAGATAAACTCAGGAGAATTTTCTTAAAGCATGACATCCCTGTGCACTTCTCACCCAGTGACAGCCTCAGACAAAAATTGGTTCATCCCAAGGACAAAACTCCCAAAGACAAGCTAAACAACATAGTGTCTGCGTTGAAGTGCAGCAAGTAGTGCTCAGACCTCTATATTGCAATGAGCCACACTATAAATACATGGCACAGCATAAAAGAGCCACCTCGACAGGACATGACTCAACTGTCCATCTGCATTTAAACAATAAAATTTAATTTTTCAAGGATACCGATGTTCAAATTTTGGACAGAAAAGACAAATGGTTTGAAAGAGGAGTAAAGTAAGCCATTTATGTCCAGTGTGAATTCCCATTTTTGAACAGAGGGCTTACGACAACAACTGTCTGTCACTACAATGCGATTTTGAGATCTTTTCCCAGCCACCCTAATGTCCACTCACATCTTGCGTTAGGTGATCTCAAGGGCATATGATAGGGTGAGGCAAGGCAGTGGTTTCACCTGAAACCTCTGCTGATAATGACCCACACCCCTTTTCACACCTATTTGCATGTGATGAGGCACATGATCAATAGTGGGTCAACAATGCTCTCAAGGGACAGTCCCCACTTGGGTTTATTATAATGCTCTATTGAAACTCTTACAGTCAGTGCGATTACTGACTCTTGTATGTTCAGTAAAAAATCCTGAAAATAGTTTTGTGATACATGCCACCAGCAGGTTTCCAACAACATTCAGCTCTTTTACCCATTTTGAGTGGCTTCAACAAAAATACATTATTTTCACTATGAAAATGAACAATGGTTGTGCAACTAATTATTAATTATTTATCAAATGTGTAGCCTATATGCTGTCTTTAAAGTATTAAAAAATAAAACAAAGGAAAAAATGGTATCAATTAAAATGTGTTTCATAGCCTACATCTGTCACCTGATGCCTTATCCTCTTAATTTTGTTGAACCTTAATAGCAATGTTAGTAGAAATGCATCAAAGGCTAGTTTTGAGTGGCCCCAGGTCTGGATTCCAAAAGAAAAAGTAACAGAGGAAAATAATACAGTTTATTTAAAATTGTCTTTGTTTGGTATGCTTAACCTGTTGTGAGAAGTTGCAAACAACAACAAATACATTAATTCATTAATTGAAAAAAGAAAATTGTGGAAAGACATTTCAGAGAAACCACGCTTCATTTGGTGAGAACCGTCCATGTGCAGATAAAAGAAACAGAGCAAATTCACAACTGGTGAGCAGTTCGATCTTTATGTCATCTTAGAAAAGACACTTAGACTGCCATTTGCTTTAGACGGGTGGTGCACGAAGACATTCACAGTAAGGTGTTCAAGTAATTGATTGATTGATTGATTGATTGATTGATTGATTGATTGATCATTTATTTCGAGCATGTCTGATATGAGGTTTCCAACTGATTTTATTGTCAAGTATCAATGCTAAGAAATCTCCTATATATATATATGTGTGTATGTCTAGTGCATTTGTTATTGCTTCAGTTGTTTCAGTTATTGCCAGTGAAGTTGAGCTCTTTACTCTGAATCCATGAATCCTTACTTCATAGATACCATCAAAGATGGGCTATGACATCTGCAGCAAATTGTCCCAATAAGCTACTTTCAATATGATTAATTTACACAGATGACAGAGTAGTGGCTCCATAGGTTTACTAATACCTCAGGTTTACAGATTTACCTCACAATCAGAAGATCCCCAGTTTGATCCCTGTAAGAGACACAAATCCCTTTGTGGGCAGGGTAAGTGGCATTTCTAGACAAGAGTAGAGGCACCTGATTAAACTGTGTTATCTTCCTTTAAGGCAGCTCCATACAGACGTTTTATGATGAAAGTTTCTAAATAATGAATCTTTTGATAACAAAGATTACAGACCCCTATGATAACACGCATCAATTTCTTCTTTTATTTTCTATCTTCCAAATAAGGTAATAACTAAACTTTAATTTCTAACTCCTTAAAAGAACGTTTACATCAATGCACCACAGTGGATACTTAAAACTGTATTAAAGAGATTTCTGGGATGCCAGTAGCTCCATTTAAAATAAAATTACTGGAAGCATTACAATTAATTATGGAATTGTTAAATTTTAATATTTATTATTTTATGAATCAAGAATAAACGCCTTTCAAAAACAAATAAATAAGACATCTTTTAGGAGTCAAGGTGCATATGGAAAAATGTAACCCGTAAAAAATAAACAGAAAAGCACTTCCTTCTTTTCACGCACTAACCAATGTGCTAGGACTAAACAACAACAAAAAGCCAGATTATAAAACGTGCTCAAGGTTAAATTTGCATAAAAAGCGCCTTCAAATAAACAAAAACAACCCAATTTATACTCTTTTCTTTTACTTTGAGCCACTGGCTGACTGGGCCCACAGAGGCCAAGTCCATGGATACAGAGAAGCGTTCTTACTGTTGGTAGTCGCTCTTGCAGTACGGCTTTGTGTCTCTGAAGTAGCAGGTGTCGGTGAGCGGTTGCTGGCACGCAGCGCACTGAAGGCACTTCTGGTGCCAGGACGCGCCATTGACCCTCATCAGGAAACGGTCTGAAATGATCTGCGCGCAGCCCTCACACACGGCCTGCTGTCGAAAGTCAGCGCCTGATTGACAACAGAACAGACATGAGCGGCGTGAACGAGAAGGCTACAGCTGATGTAAAAGGGGAGAATGCTCCCAAAACTGCGACTGTGATTTGCACATAGCCCTGTAACTCGGGAATATGAATTATTTGTTAACTGTCCAAGTCATCCAAATAAAGCGCTACCCAGACGAACCTGCATGTCACAAAGCTCTTGCTGGAATATAGAGGTCATCATGTACGCACACAAAAAATATATGTCCATTTTACTGGAAAAAATCTGCAAACCTGGTAACAAAAAAATAAATTCACTTTTTTTTTGCGAATACATAAAAAATGAATTTCTTCTCTTGTTTATTTATACGTTTTCCCTAGAATGGTTCGTTTCAGTAAATCAAGAGAATCGCCTGAGTGAATAAAGAGGACAGAACCTGCTGGGGTTATATATTCGTATTAAACACTACTTATATTTTTATAACGACTAAAGAATTCTCTTAGAGGTTTATTGAGAAAACTAGTGGGAGAGTTTCAGTGTTGTACGCCATAAATGAACACAGGGATTATTCATATCTCTTTAAACCGAAACATAATTTTGAAAACAACAACATAAAACATAACTAAATAAAATAAACAACAAGACTACACAAAACTGCCCCAGAAGCATGAAATATAACAACGTAATTTGAAAGACTTTTTATGTTAGAAATTATGCGTCGTAGCAGCAAACATGTTTCATAAAATCAAGTGGGGAACATGTAGCCATAATAATATCATAAAAATATCAAACTGAAAACACAGTCTCGAACCTGGACAGACACAGAAACAAAGGCGTTGCAAAATTAGCTTACACTCTTCCAAACCTGTCAGGAGATGGGAAAGCCGACCATCCCGTTGTGCAGGCAAAAAAGAAACTCACCGATCTTACCATCCAAAGAACTGGTATCGCTCCGCAGTTGATCCTTCATTTTAAAGTCATTCAACATCTTTAAATAGGTAGTGGAGTTAGCCTTGCTGTTCGACTCGCGCTTCTCCATATAATAGCTACACTTGTTGCAATTCCCATAAGCCGTGAGATCCAGGCCTGTGGCTCGTTTTTCCCATCTACAGTCTCTGCTGCCTGAGAGTAAAATATGGGCAAAATCAAGAGCACATAAATGGTCGCAAAGATGAAACCTTCAACAAGTTTCCCCCTCTTGTAAGTCAAGAGGTCTGCACTGAAACTCTCAAGCACCCCTGAACTTGATATCTCAGCCGTGATCTCTCTATACAGCTGGGCAACGGCAGAGATATGAAGCCTACCCATGCTCTCCGGCACAGCATTTTCTTGGCACTGCTGTGGATAGATCCGCCTGCACACAATGGAAGGAAAGAACAATCCTTTCCAAACTGTGTTGTTTATATGCGACAACTGTATCAGTCGGCAGACACCCCACATATGGTGGTGGCCACAAAAAATGAATTAGTTTGCGTTAATTGTTTACAAACGAATTAAACTCAAAATACAAATAATAGACGGGGCATCGTGACACTCATTTATAATATGTGCAGTTTAACACAACCATATATCTCTCTTTCTCTCGCTCTTGCTTACAATCAAGCTTTCAAAGTAAATACGAGTAACTACATACATGCAACAATAAATATAATAATATATTTATATTATAAATATAATATAAAAATAATATAAATAAAAATACTCCTAGCTGGTGTTATCAACTTGCAATATAAAAACAGAGACAATATCAAAAATATTTTTGCAATACTAAAATTGAATGAAAATGCTAACTTGACAAAACTGAGTCTACAACCCGAGTAACATAACGACTACAATTTTTATCTGAAACTATTTCTTATCCATATTATTAAATATGCAAAATTGGCGTTTAGTGCCCTGTCACGTGACAGCTCTAAACGTCTCCATGCCTAATGGTAATCTATTCACGTGAAAGACAGGTTTGGAGCAGATTGTCAGGATGAATTCTCCTTAAATCTGTGTAGCCTGATGCCCCATAAATCCACAGCCTGCTCTCAAAAACACGCACACGTTCACTTTTGTTTGGCATATGAAATACATCTCACCAATAGTCATATAACGTCGCATATTGTCATACATACAAACTATGTGAGGCGCAGTAAAGAACGATTTGTGTCAGCTGTGTGCGATTTTGTTCGCACAGCCCTCACTGTCACATGTGGAAAGCGTCAGGATATTTGAAGAGCAGGAGGAAGCTTTCACTATCGGGGAAAAATCATTTTGACAAATGAAGGATGTGAGCAGGTCAGGCTTGATACTGAGCCTCAGCACGGCGGAGGATTAATTAAAATAAGACAATTTTAGTAAAATATTACTGAAATAAACAAGCACCGACCAAATAAAACTTTCCGAGGCAGAGGTGCCGCCAGGAATTTGGGACCCCGTGAAAAAAAATACAACATTGGGCTCCACCACTTAATATTGTAAACCATGCCATCTTAAAAATGTTGTTGTTCAGCTGTGCAGACATAGATCAACATTCTGTACAGATTAATAGATTTTTTTAAATTCATGCAAGGTTCATGAGATATGTGCAACTAATTTCTTACATTTTATATATACACACACACACACACACACACACACACACACACACACACACACACACATCTCATCCACAGGCTCACTGGAGCTTATCCTGGCTACCGAAGGGCAAGAGGCGGGGTACGCAGGTCACCAGTCTGATGCAGGACTATCACATAGAGACAGCTATGGACAATTTAGAACAACCAAATAATCTAACCCCATTAATTAATTGTGGGATGAAGCTGAAGATGGTGAAGTCAGAATCTTCTTGCTGTGAGGCAACAGGGCTAACTGTGCCACCCTACTGCCTGCAAATAAAATATATGTTTTGGTTTTTTTTGGTTTAAAGAAAAGTTTAGATAAGTAGATAAGTATTTTTGCCACTTAAACATTTTTGTTTATAATATTTGCGTATTGGCAAATATGACTTAAATGGTAAATGGTCTGTATTTGTATAGCGCTTTACTAGTCCCTAAGGACCCCAAAGCGCTTTACATATCCAGTCATCCACCCATTCACACACACATTCACACACTGGCAAATATTACTTAAATGATCCTGGCTGTAGCTCAGGTAGTAGAGCAGGTCACCTACTAATTGGAAAGCTGGTGGTTTGATCCCTGTCTACTCCAGTTTGCATGCCGAATATCCTTAGGCAAGATACTATGATACTATAGGAGATGCTATCTGATGCATCCATCGGAGTATGAATGTGTGTGAATGCTTGATAGACACTACTAGGTAGAAAGAGCATGGAAAAAGTGCTGGGGTGAATGAGGCAAGTTATGTAAAGTGCTTTGAGTGCTCAGAGTAGAAAAGTGATAAATAAGAAGCAGTCCATTTACCATTCCTCAGGATAGCACTTTTCAAAGTATAGACAACTCTGTCCTGAGACCTAGTGGAACTCAAATAGGTTTTAATCTCACATTATTGTTCAAACTGAATTTTAAGGTCTCCTGAAAGGCAGAATATATAGCCCCCCACCATTGAGTGATCAATCCTGACACCATGTGGTTAAAAATTGCATGTGGAAAAAAAGTGTGACAAAGAGTGACAAGTTATGTGAAGTAAAGTTTAAAAAATATATTTCAAATGTTTTTATTGTACACTACATTTTTTGAACTTTGAGCCAACTTGTCAGGGAGGGAACACACGGGCAGACAGAGTAACAAGTTTTACAAGTTTTACAAATTACTCTAATTTGTTACAGCTAAATTAGTTTTACTCAGACAACAATTCTGATTTGATTGAAACTTAACCCTTTAAGACCTACCATAGAACCAAGTCCCTCAGAGCTTATATTATATTTTTACATGGTGTGGTGCCATTTTTTGGGAGCATTTCAAGTTGCTATACATCAATACAACCATTATAGCCCAAATTCTAATAATATGTATGCATTAAGTCCATAGTAATTACATAAATTGCAAAAAAGTGCAATAAACTACAAAAAAATTAAAAATCATTTTTGTTTTTTTTAACATATATTTCTAGTTAGAGAAATTTAAGAGGCTTATACCTCAAAACTGTAAATACAAAAAAGTTGCACAAAATAGTTTCCCACCACAGGAAATTTATTTTGAGTGTCTTCATAGTTTTAATTTTGAAATACACCAATTTTTATATACTGCAGGAAAAATGAAAATAAATATTATAGTGCAAATTTGCAAAAAAGCAGCATATGCATCAAAATAAACTATTTCCAGCAGTGCAATTTGTCCTAAGCATCCCAGAAACGACACAGAAAGTCATAAAGTCAAAGATAACTTTTAAAAACACCAGTCTAGGCTCATGAGGCCCTGATGGTAAAAAACGACATTTCCGCGAAAATGACGTCACTTCCGGATTTGGGCAAGTAATGGCGGACGTGCGAAAGTTCGCGCTGACGTCTATTCCAACGTAGGAAGTATTACGAACAGCTGATCGGATCGGCAAAGCGTGTTTCTGGAATATTATGTTTTTGTTGCTGCAAGCGCTTTTTATGCAGTTTTTGCAAAGCTATATTTGGAAGGAAACTGTGACCTAGGACAAGCTGATGGCATAAGATGTAAGTACAACTCCTCCGGTTTCATATGCAAAAAAATTATTGCGCTAGCTTACGTGGTTGCAGTGCTACCGGGGTTTAAAAATAGTTACGCAAAACAGAGCGTGCCCGCTCCAACCAGCTTTAAAGGGTTAAATATGCACTTAAAATAAGCCAAAACTATTTCACAAATGTACATTGAAGCAAATAAAAAAGACCTTAAAGCCCCCCCCCCCCCCACACTTTAGCACAACTCAGTTTTTCACTTAGTATTAGTAATCACCATCAAAACAAAAGCTTTTTAAAGTATATGCAAAGTCTTTCCACTAAGTTTTAATTATTCTATTGAAAAAATGCATTGCAATTTTTGAGGTAAATTTATGGGTAGTTAACAGGGATGCACAGAACATGACAAGATGTTAAAGAACCACCTAGTTTTATTCAGGTGTGTTACAGAAGGGAAAAATCTAATATCTGTTGGACAATGGAATCCAAGGACCAGAGGTGGTGATCTCTACCAAATTAACATTCCCACACCCTCTCCATCAACAAACACACATCACATACTAAATAAATAACCTGACATATAAAGAAAAATGTTTAGCATCAAAATTGATAGTGCCTTTCCATTGATTTTTCATTTAATTGCTAACCTGGTAAGTAGCGATGGTGTGATGAAGCCCCATCTCGAATATTTCCGGCCAACTGCTTTGCCAAAAGGCAGGTCCCACAACATCTGACACCAGCTGGTCGTTCAATGTACATCAGCCCGATTTACAGCACGGTATATTACCGCATATGGCAATTTAAGATTAATAACAATCTGAAATGCTGGAAAAATCTTCCCATCACATTATTAGGGTGAATAGCTACCATTAAAATTAAAGCCTTACCCCAAATTATTATTTTTCTCAATTATCCCATTCAAACCACATCCATATGGTTTTAGACTCCAACATTATTAAGTTTTACTGGAAAAACAAAAGAGCCCAAATCAGTCTTTTCACTCTTCATAAAAACAAATGTACAATACAGTAAAATATATTATAAGATAATTCGCTTGGATAGAATTAGATAGATTATAATAACATTAAACTTTCAGACCTCCCTTTATTACCGTTACAATTAAACGTCATAACTGCTTCCAAGCTGGTAAATCTCCACTACCAGGTGATCTCCTGGCAATAATGTCACTGGTCCCCCAAACTTGCTATCCCCTACTCCACCTGCTGTCCTTTTTAATGCAAATCACTAATCCTTCTTTTCACCAGCTTGGAGGTGTCATGGTGAAGGGGAGGGGGGGGGGTGTCCTTATATCTCACACTGTTCTGCTCTTCTCTCTCTCTCTTCAGTTCACTTGGGGCCTGGTCCTCTGTGATTCTTGGGGGAGGGGACTGGCCTCTCCTGGTGGATCCATGGGGGATGGCATGTGCTGGATGGCTGCATG